CTCGTATATTGAAAAATCGATAAGCACAAATTGTTATTCTACGTACCGGAACAGATGGAAAACAACATTATACGCACGTGCCATGACAACCTCGATCATGTAGGCGTGAGAAAGGTTATTTCGAATATTTTGAAAACAAATTGGTTCCTGAATATGCGGGAAAAGGTAACGAATTATATAAAGAATTGCTTAAAGTGCATCGAATATTCTCCTAGTGGTAAATTAGAGGGGTATTTGCACAGTAAAGGAAATTTATCATTCCAAACATATCATATTGATCATTATGGGCCCCTATGGGAAAAGACGGACAAAGGTTATAAAAATATGTTTTATCTATAGTGAATGCGTTTACGAAATTTATACGTTTATACGCTTGTAAATCTACGAATTCGGGCAAAGTTATAAAACATCTCAGGGACTATTTCCTATAATAAACCGCGGCGACTTGTAAGATCATGGCAATGCATTCACATTGAGTGAATTTAAGGACTTTATGAAGGAAGAATCGATCGAACACGTTCTTATAGTTATGAGCAAGTCGAACGATTAAATCGTGTTTTAATACCCATGCTCGCGAAGTTGAGCGATTTTCTTATAAAATGGGATCAAACAATCGTGTCAGCTAAATTCGCGATTAACAATACAGTTTGTCCATCGACCGGAAATACTCTCAGTCAATTATTATTCGGACTAAATCAATTAGAGAAAGTAAACGATTTGTTGCGTCTAAATTTGAATAATCAAAACATGAGAGATATAATAGAATTGCGAAAAACAGCTTCGTGGGAGATCGTAAAGAGCCAAACCGCCAACGAAAAACATACGACCGATCTCGAAAGACGATGACGAATATAATATTGATGACTATGTGATGATAACTAATGTGGACACTACTGCGGGAATTAATAAAAAACTAATTCCGAAGTACAAGGGACCATATGTAAAAAAGGTGTTAAATGCAGATCGTTACATTGAGACTGATATTCCGGGTTTCCAGATAAGATAATTCTCAGATCCCGTACAATAGTATAATAGCCATCGATCGGATGAAGAGCTGGATACAAAATTAGCGATTAATGTGTAATCTAAGAATTAACTACTTTCTTTTAATGTATGTAACCACGATCTTTTAATGTATGTATTTTAATTTTCACTTAGAGTTAAATATGTTTATTTATCTAATGACCAAGACGATCATTGTCAGGATGGACGAGCTGTAGGATCTTTTGTAGAATCGGTGTCTCAATCAGATCCGCGAGCTGTTTTCGTGTGTAATAACAGCGCGCCATCAGATGCGGCGGCTACTTTCGGTGCTGAATAGCGTCTTTTAGATCTCGCAGCGACGCGATACCACTCCACAATCAATCCACAATCAATGCCGAATTATTGTCCAAAATATTGTCTGTCTCTATATAACGAGTCTTTCTGAGGACGCGCATATTCATCCGCTCGCTGACTCCTGTGGCGAACAGTTCGATTTGAAATAAAGTACTACATAATATATTTTATACAAATTTTATATTCTATAAATTTTATATTTTTTCTTTCCTACAAGATTGTTAGAAAATAACATGACAATTAATATAAAGCAAGAATTCGTTTTCACTTGTTATTATCTGTTATGTAATTTTTTGAAAGAGCAATGATTAATTGACTGAATTGATTAATATAGACAGAAAATACCATGATAAAATTCAATAAATTTATCATAACTATGTGCTTAGTTATCGTATTTTATTTTTTTATTGCTGTGGAAATGAGCATTTGACTGATTAGCTGACTGAAGAGATACAGTCTATCTCTTGACGAGGTTGCTTGTGAGCGACCTTAACAGCGATCTCGATCAGGCAGGCAAATAGCCAGAATTCACTACCAGTGTGTGTTGATGGGTACTTGGATCAATATACGTTCCTAGACTTAACGGAGGCGTTTCCTCTCACCGCATTTGCTTCAGGGTGCTTTCCGTCCGACGAAGTTTCCTTCCCTAAGGAAGCATGCCTCGAGGAACTGCTGCCTCATACGCGGCACGCAAAAAAAGCCTTTCGGCACTTCTGGGGAGAGATCAGATCAGAATTATCTTTCCTTATGACGAACGTGACGGACGCGGAGGAACGCAGAGACTTAATATGCTGTAACGAGCATAAGTCTCACAGAATCGCGCTTTATCTAGCAAACGAGTGGCAAATGAATGGCAAGTGCGAATAAGGATGTTTATCGGGTGAAAGAGGGCGACTTTCCGTGTGCATCCGCTCTTTCATTGTCAGATGGGACAAAAAGGGAATCGTGCAACAAAGCTTCTTCTTTCTTATCGCTTCTCTCTTTTTCTGTTTCTCGTCTCTTCTTTGAGCTTTTGCACATATATGCTCAAGGATTTCTGCACAATAATATCTCTGCTCGAGTTTGATCGCAAACGACGTTCGCAATCGATGCCGTTGCCTCTCGCGCGCATCTGTTTTCTGTAATTTTACAAATCGATACCTCGATTCTCTTCTCACAGAATGAAGAGATCCCTCATTTCCTTCCTCATTTACTATCGACTAGGATTACTGAGCGTACTAATTCCGTGTATCGTATATATCGTTTCATGTACATGAATAGTCTCACACATATGACCGAAAAATAGATGGCTTTATGTTAAAACAGTTGAAATTGCTCTTCAAAATTGTTTAACTTCTTTTACATAAACTACAATTATAATTTAACTACAATTACAGATATTACAACAATTTCGAAACTCATGTCATTGTTGCAAACATTGTTTACGATCCCTACAACAATGTCTTACTCAGAGAAAGGAGCAGCATATTTTCGAGTACTTGTTATTGTAAACTGCACGTCGAAAACACGTCGTATTTGCATTAAGTTCAGCGCAACTAATTTGCTAAAAGTAATTCCCGGTTGACATGCTCGCGTGTGCATGTTTTTGAAATTCGGGCCGCTCATGTGCCATCATTTACGCTGTCTTGCACTGACCCAAACGATGCGATGTCATAAAGTAGGCGCTCGTGAAAAGTGAGGACACTGCTTATTGCGCTTTACCAAAAGGAAAAAAAAGAAACGATGGTTTTTGCATTATTATAGTTCGTCTGCGCGCGACACGTTGCACGTCACGGCCGTGCCTCTGTACCGCGCATTATGAAATATCACGGAACGTCGGGAGGGAGACAAGGAGCGCGCGGAATAGTAGGTCAACGGCGGAATCCGCGTACGATAAAAGGGAGAGAAAATCCACCTTGAAAATTTTAGCCGAGCCAGTATACGGGCTTTACGGTTGACGTGTCGCGAAGAGAGATGCCCCTATTCTTATTTCCGGCCTTATGAATTATTATCTCGTCTCGGCGTGTTTTCGCGTCCATACGGTCTTTCTTGCGCTTCTCTATCGACGATGGACCGGAAATTGGGAGAATCCAGAGGAATGAAAATTGCCGGAGGAATGAAAATTAAACCTGCGCGCGAACACGACGACAAGCACCTTCGGCATCGGGACTTGAATCGATCGTGTATATCTCTCGCTCCTTCTCTTTTTCATCGAGTTTGCTGAGTTTCTCCGGATATCATCTACGAACATTGTCGTTTGCGATGATAAAGACGATAACGGCCTTGCTGTGTACAAAGTAACATGTAATTTTAGATGTAATCGTTAATGCATTACTCTGCATAGAGTATTTTGCAGATTAATAAAATGTATCATTTGAATCTTATACAAAAGAGAAATAAAAATTACAATAAATTTTTGCAAAAATTTCTTTTGGTCGAATATCTAGAAACTTTCAAAATAGATTTTTAAAAGAATTTTTAGATTTTTTTCCGATGTAACTTAATGTTGAATATGAGACGCTAATCGTAACAAACTTTAACATGTTATTAGTTTTAAATAAGTAAACATTTGTGTTTCGATAACTGAAAATAATTTCTTATAAAGTTCAAAATAAGAAGAAATGTAACAAATATAAAGATTGCAAAGCCATTCTTCGATTTAAAAGGTACCTAATGAAATGAATTTCCAGATATCCTTTTTATATATCTTGCTGTAGTCATTTTCGCTCAACTGACAGGATGAGACGCTATGTTTACTCTACTTTAATACTACCAATGGCAGATTAAACGTAGCAGCTCGGAGGGATTTCGAGGAAAAGATGCTTCTCATTCGATTCTACATCGAAGATATCTCCGTCCAATTAATAGTTTCAATTAATCTTTTTTCGATACAATATCTTGATGGATTTTCTTAGATCCTTTGCAATTTTTAAATGAACTTGATAAATTGCAAAGTAAACAGAAGAGACGCTTCTCGAAATCAGTGGAAAGCGATCACGTGGCATTGAAATCTGCAGTGAATTCTTCCTCAGCGGGATTGTCATCACAACTTTTTGTATATTTCAGCACTCGACGTCTCGGTAACTAGTCAAAAAAATTAAAATCAATAAATCTCGATAAATCAACCGAAAGTTCGTTCAAATAAGAGAGGATTCTATTAACTGTCTAAGTCATTTTAAATTCGATCTATTGGGTTGTCGGAAAAGTCATGATGCATTTTTGTAACAGATAGCGCTAATTCACTTTTGGAAGTATTAGAATCATTCGCATCTATGTTATTGCTATGTCATTCAGTAAAGCTAATTTCAAGAATCGCCGAACGAGCAGGCTAGTTGTAAGAATAAAGAGCGAAAGAGTCAGGACTAGGTGTGCTAGCCTCGTCTTTTACCCGACGCCGGTCGAACTTCCGAACTTTCACGAATATGCTTTCTCATTGTGTGCGGCATCCACTCCCTGACTCTCTCGTGATTTTCGTCTTGAAATTAGCATCACTGATATCATTTGACAGTTGATAGTTCTAACTTTATTCTAAAAAAAATTGAGCGATTTGATTGAGTTTTGGAGATTTTATAACAAGTTGAAAATGGAAGATCAAACTGTGCATTTTCGCCATATATTACTGTTTTACTTCCGTAAAGAGAAGAACGTGCATCAAGCTTGTGAAAAGTTGTGTAAAGTTTACGATGACAATGCTCTACAAGAACGTCAGTACCAACGATGATTCACGAAATTCCGTGCTGGTGATTTTGACTTCAGCGATGCTTCTCAGTCATCAACCTCGGTCAGGGAAGTCCACCGAGGTTGATGACAACAAAATAAAGGCATTGATCGAGTCAAACCCACGTTACACGACACGAGAGATTGTAGAAACATTGAACATCCATCATTCAAGCGTTCACGATCACCTGAAGAAGTTGGGATACGTAAGCAAGCTCGATGTTTGGGTTCCTCATGAACTCAAAGAAGTTCATTTGACGGCACGTATAAACATCTGCGATATACTCGTTAAATGTGAGGAAAACGATCCTTTTTTGAAACGACTGATAATTGGTGATGAGAAGTGGATTGTTTACAATAATGTGGTGCGCAAACAGTGGCCTCAACGTGATGATTCGCCTCAAACGACATCAAAAGCAAACATTTATCAGAGGAAGGTTATGCTCTCAGTATGGTGGGATTTTAAAGGTGTCGTGTTTTTCGAGCTCCTACCAAGGAACCAAACAATCAATTTGAATGTGTACTGTCGGCAATTAGACAATTTGAACAAATCCATCATCCAGAAACGTCCAAAGCTCGTTAATCATAAAGGAGTTGTGTTCCATCACGACAACGCGAGATCACACACAAGTTTGACCACCCGTCAAAAATTATTGGAGCTTGGATGAGATGTGTTGCCACATCCATCATACTCGCCTGACCTTGCGCCGTCAGATTTCCACTTGTTTCGCTCTCTTCAAAACTCCTTGCATGATATAACGTTTAATTCAGATGAGGCTGTAAATCAGCACTTTGTTCAGTTTTTCATCGATAAAGACAGGTCCTTCTATGTTTGAGGAATTATGAAACTCACTGATAGATGACAAAAGATTATCGAACAAAACGGGCAATATATCATTGATTGATCTTTGTTCTTTATATAAATAAATGACCTTTGAAAAATATAGAAAAAATACGTCATGACTTTTCCAACCACTCAATATTTAAATGACGTGCCGAGATCTCCGTTTTGTGTTTACGTTTTCATCACGCTTCAAGATACGGATTTCGCGACTAAAGATATCCGCTGATTGGAATATTTCGGTTGCAATATTTCTGCGCGTTCGGTTCAAATTTAAGCGTCCTGATACAAGATCCTAGTACGTTATTTCGCGCGAGATACAGCTTGGGTTACGAGACAGAAGAGATCAGAAATCCGGAGATATATGGTGTTGCGTTAACGAGGCATGTTATTTCGATATCCGTGAGGAAAAGAAAACGGCCAGAAGGGGGTGGAGGGGAAGGAGAGAGTCGCGCCATATCTTACCTTATGGAGAATATATTTTATGTCGTTACCGCACTTCTGCCCGGTAACTGGCACCTGACTCTTACGCCTTTCCTCCTCGTCGTTCTCGGATCAGCGGGACGAGCAAGAGGAACGAGAGATATGAAGGTGGAGCATAGAGATAAGAGATGACAGCGAGGGAAAGGGAGAGAGAAAGAAAGAGAGATGTATAAAGAGATCCCGGAAATATCGAAGGGAAGGATATACGGTGAGAATTAACTCGAGGCCACACGGGAATACTCTCTTCTTTCGCTGTCTGTCTGTCGCTCGTTAAGGACGCGACGCGAGATTGTGAGTAGAAAAACCGATGCGATGTCTCCAATTGTTTTTCGATATCTCGTGGCTAATCTGACTCCGAATATCGGATTATGAATTGTCCAGTTGAAGTGGAAGAATAATGAGAGGTTCATATTTGATGATTAACTTGTCTGATGATGTATCCATTTCAAAATCGATCTTGCTAGTTTAAACTTCTACCTTTGTGAAATAACAACACGTGGACTTTCAGAAAGAGAGATTTATTGTAATAAATGTATATGTTATTTATATGTTATCAATTTAAAAAAAAAGATTTTATATAGTTTTATATAGTTTTTTCCGTTAAGATTTTTATGGTTTTTTTTCATTAAGATTTTTATATTTCCGTTATTTTTCCTTTTTATCTTGAATATATCATATTGGAAAAATTCGCATTATTAAATGAAGTTATGCGTTATTTTACGTAATCTTACGTAATATTATTAGTACATCCTGTTGTTGCACAAAGGAATAGTAGTTGAATTGTCATATTGTATACACTTACATTTCTTTCTTATCTCCGTTCTCAAGTCTATGTCTATATATAAGAACGGGATAAAGTAGAGGCGAGGAGGAAAGAATATTTCCAATGTTCGCACTTTTGCACGCTCCACAGACTTGAGTTCTTACCTTAATCCAAGTAGTGCGTTGATCTCGTAAACGGTACTGTAGCCGCACCAAATTTGCATTTCGGGGCGCAAGCCTCTCATCCCTTCCTTCCGTCAGCCACCACGATGAAATAAACCGCTCGATAGTCACCTTGCGTACCGATTCCACTCATGAATTCGTGGCACGTTTTGCTCGCGATAAGGGACGAGAATCATGCAATTTGCCGCGGAACAGACACAAAGCGACACGTATTAATTAAAACGGAGGGATTTATTTTACAACGAATGCGTATTGTATTTCACTGCCTGTAGAGATAAAAACTTTAAAATATATTATCGATTAAGAACTTAGTCAAGCACAAAAACGGATCTCATCAATTAGTCTCGTGTTTTTGTTCTTGTTTGAAATTCAATTTATGCAGTATGTTTTCTTCAATCAATTCTGAGGTATTAATCTTTAAATAGTTTCTAAAATTATCTTGTTAAAAATATTCACTATATATTTATATATATTTGACAATTTTTATTTGATAATCATTCAATAACTTTGATAACACATTTTTTAATTAGATAAAAGAAATCTAAATATATTTTTTAACAATAAAATTAATCTATAAAAGCTATAAATATAAATATAAAATCTATAAATTAATCTATAAAATTAATCTATAATTTTGTATAAACTTCAAATTTTTTAGAAATACAGGATTAGAAAAAAATATATAGAATTATTTATGTTTTTGAAACAGGATATATAGTTTAGGTATAAGTAATTTTATTTATTTAGTTTAGTTTAGAATTGCAGGATTTAAAAGAAAGACTAACAAAACTTTCAACAATTAAAATTGCTCTTTTTCGTGCAAACAAATAAAGTGAGTTCTGAGTTTATATTACGATCTTTTACGAATTATTTTAATATATGCGCACGTAGTAAGATAGAATTTGTGTGTCATTATGCTAAATCCTTAAATGCAAGAGTCATTAGTAAGATCATATCTTATACAGTTACTCTTAATGATGTATTTTGTGAATACAATCGTCCTTAACGACCAAAAATATTAACGTATCTATATACAGACAATGCTATACGTGGTATTTTAAATTTTCTTATTTTCTTATTATAAACTTTTCTATTTACTAGATTTAAATTATAATATAAACTACGCATATATATTCACATACAGTGTTAAGGGTCATAAAATAAAATTATGTTTGTAAAAAAACACATTAGAAATACATATATATTATAAATTTTCATAAATTTATATGTGCATACAATATAATTTAACTGCATTGCATAATGTACGTGCAAAAACAATATTTTAGTATAGATCATTAGAAAAATATTGCAATATTTATCAAAAAATATATTTTTCTATCCAGACTATCAGAAAAAGTTCTTCATAAATATTTGTTGTAGATAATAAAAGATGATAGTAATATCTGGTTTTAATTTAGATTATTAGATTCTGCATATCTCTGTATAAATTTTATAAAACTTGCTTATAATAAAAAATAATATAACAAATAATTAATACTAATATAGTTAAATAGTACTTATTATTAATTCTAATTGGGCAATGTATGAAACATATACAAAATAAAATAACAGTTCGTAATAAAAAATAAAGATATAGAAGAAAAGCATTTTTTAATAGTAAAGTTACAGAGAAGAGCAGTAGTATATTATCTATACTATTTTATTTATTATATAACATTATATTTTTTTAAATAAAAAAATAGCACTAAAAATACATCAAGATTATGGAAATATTATGATTAAAATAAAATATCAACACTATCCGGATTAGATACACAGCAAAATAAGTTAAATTTGGATGTTTAATTTGAATCGTCATAGATATGGCCACCTGTTGCATGAAAATATCTCCGTATTGTATGCGCAACTATTACTTCCAC